TTTTTTTTTTTTTGAGATAGAGTCTTGCTCTGTTGCCCTGGATAGAGTGGCATCATCATAGCTCACTGCAACCTCCAACTCCTGGGCTCAAGTGATCCTCCTGCCTCAGCCTCCTGAGTAGCTATATCACATTTTAAAAACTATTGTTTGACTTACAGATAATTCCAGGCATTAATGACTTTGGCTTTTATAGACAAGCTTTCTAGGAGGAGAAGTAATCACAAACAATTCTTTTTGTGAAAAGAATGGCCAAAGTCACTGTATATTTTTATGTATAAGTATACATATATCTGCATTAATTTAGTAGTAGAATATTATGATTATTTCTTGAACTGTTTTTTATTAATTACCCAGTGAAACAATTACCTTTTAACTGTGCTCAGAAACAAGCATTGAGATGAGGCTCTTTCTCAAAGTCTGATCCATTAGATTCATGGATGGGATGTGAGTGAAACTTGACTTTGGTATTTGAAGATTCAGGACTAGCTTTCTATTATGAAAAGAGTGACCACTGCAAGGCCCATTTTAAAGTTTGTCATCTGTGGTTGGCCTCCTCTAGCATGAGTTGGGCTGGGGGTCACAGCTCCTACACGGTGCCGTCACAGTCCTGGTGAGGGGATGGGCATCAGTGACCACCTCCTCTTTGCAGAAGGTTGGCAGGCGCCTTCCTGAAACAGCTGTGTTCTCTGTCCACCAAAGATCACAAACTGCGCATTCTGTTCACGTGTGTTCCACTGACCAGCTTTGATGCTCGCTCCAGTAACTCCCAGTCCCAGCAGATTTTCCTGCCAGGAATAAGATTTACAAGGAGAGATCTCCATGAAGGAAAAAAGAAATGAAACTTGGACATACTTCACAACATTTTCAACGTTAAGATTTATCTGATAGGACATTTTATATTTTTAATGATGTTTTCATCATCAGTATAGAAATTTGGGGGGATTATGGGGTGGGGAAGCAGGGAGCCCACATGTCTGTACTTAGGTCTTACACAGCTGCCCCCCACACCCAGGGATGGAGGCAGGGAGTAGGGTGCTGGGACCCGAGAGAAGAGAGTGGGCACACCGAGGTGAGCACGGCGCTGGCTGAGGAGTGGCCATGGAGCGGGAGGGGGGAGGGCGGGCACCCATGGGTGGCTCCTTGGGCTCCCCTGTGCTCAGTGCCTTCATGTGGGCGGCAGAGGAGAATGGAGGGGTGGGAAATAACGAATGGTGGAATAGGAAAAAACAGACCCAATGTGTATTTGAAAAATGGAAAATGTTCCACTTTTAGGCAGAGTCACTTAGTCAATGCTAAGATTTGTGTTGTGGAACAGAATTTTAGGGACTCTGCAGGAATGTTCTAATTCCAGGGCAATTAGCAGTCATTATTCCACTGAAGTTTGTGTTCTTCGAAGGCTGGGTCTGTCTGGAATGTGCCTTAGAGATACAGGGTTAGGTCAATGTTTGGTTTGAATCTGAAGTTTAATTATCTGCAGAGCTGATTTCATTTTGATTATGTAAGGAAATACTGGGAGTGGAAAAAGTTCCCAGAGGCCGCAGTGAATAATCCAGGCTGGTTTTTAGTTTCTGGATCCATAAGATTTGAACAGACATTCAGTGATAGTATCTCACGTGTGAATGTCCAGAGGCCCCTCTGCTGTGTCCCACAGGTGTGGCCGTGAGCCGATGGGCAAGCGTGTAGGTATTTAGTGTTTAGTATTGAGGAACAGGGGTGGAGGGGAGAGACACCGTCCTTTTTTGATGCACTTGGCTCATAAATGTGCCCTGTTTGGTTTGCATAGGATGAGTTAGACGAACTCCGTGCTGAAATGGAAGAAATGAGAGACAGTTATTTAGAGGAAGATGTTTACCAGCTGCAGGAACTTCGGCGAGAACTGGACCGTGCTAATAAAAACTGCCGAATCCTGCAGTACCGTCTCCGGAAAGCAGAGCAGAAAAGCCTGAAAGTGGCCGAGACAGGGCAGGTGGATGGCGAGCTCATCCGAAGCCTGGAGCAGGACTTGAAGGTGAGCGAGCGGGGTTGGCGGTGTGTGCGTGGCTGCCCCGCACAGGGTCGCCCATCTCAACGTGTAACCTGCGACCCCACGCGCACGTTGTCCTGGTGTTCTTCCCCTGCTCGTGTCTGTGTCAGCAGAGTTCAGCGTAAACAGTCTCGGTTTACTTTATGGCTTACAGAGTATGTGTAGCTGTATGACTTTGGCCAAAGTTTTGAATCTGTCACAATATGAACGTAAAGAGTCATAGTAATGGATCTGCAGTGAACAAGAATTAATATTTGCCAGTTAATCTGACGGTTACATAGAAATTATGCAGAAACCCCAAAAGATCTGAACTATTTTTTTAAAAAATCTATTGACTATCAGTTTAGTTAAAGGCCACTCTTAAAAATTGACCATATCACTTAACGTTTTTATTGTTATTTAGGTTTCTATGTTGTAGAAAACCTGAAAACCTAAAATTCCCATAACGCAAGTGAGGCTTGTGTAGTGGTGATTTAACTGAAGGAGAAATAGGATCATAACTAATTGTCCGAAGTGTCTTTGAGAACAACAAGCAGAAATGGGAATGAGTAAAGAAATCCCAGACTTTATACAACATTTGCTCCCTCCATGGGCAGCAAAGCTTCTCTTATGACCCGATTATCAAGTCATTTATCTAGAGATGAATTATGTATAATGTCCTCCTTATTATGGGTATACTCGTGAGATCTCATCTAGCCCTTTGGTATGGTAATAGGAAAACAAACTGTAATTCCACCAAAGGTATAAACCACTAAGAAAAATCTCATCTAGTGTGATACAGGGTGATTGATATTTCTCGTACAAAGTCTCTTTCCTCATTTGCTTTTAAGAAAGTAGAAATGTTTTAACTGCTTAGAACATTCTGTGCCAATAGACAATTTAAAACTTGACTGCATTAAACATCTGCTGCATACAGAATTATTATTATTATTTTTTTTTTTTTTTGAGACAGAGTCTTGCTCTGTTGCCCGGGCTAGAGTGCCGTGGCGTCAGTCTAGCTCACAGCAACCTTAG